CAGCTAATTTGCTAAGGTTCTGTCCTTTCAGCCTCCTTCTGGATGGGAGCTTCTGTAAAAAGCTGGCTGCAGTTCGCCATCTTGGCTCCGCCCCCCCCACATTTCATTTCTTGATAGCTTTTATTTTTAAGCTTTCCTATTTTCAAACAATTTAAGAAAAAATAGAAACATTCAAATTAAGATGTGGGAGAAGTTGATCAGAGGGTAATGACCTCTGATTTAAAATTAACTGGAAACCTTTAGATATGGGCATGTATTGTCTTAAGAATTTTTTCATTGCAATGATAATGCAGACTTATGGAGGTGTCAAACAATTGCTAAATGTAGAAATTAAAACATAAACTTTGTCTCTCATATTTCCCTAATCTCACTCTGCAGAAATTACTACTGGGAATAATTTTGATGTTTTGACTTTCTTATGTCTTACTCACCAGACTTGAAAATGCCTTAGTTTAATTGCTTGGTTTCACTCCTTTCATGATTTAATTACTCATTTTGCTTTGGTTTGCTTGGGGCTACATTTGTTCATTCATTCACTTCCTGATTACTAGAAATCTTCCCTTGGCCAGGTACTGAGCATGGTGCTAGAGACTTTTGAAGCATCAGGCCCAGTCCTTGTTCTTACTTTTACTAGATAAGTATAATATGCCATCAGTGGTGCATTATACTTAGTTGTGCAGAATGCCGTGAGACTATGAAGGACGGACTCCTAACTCAGGTGATCTGGGAAGGCTTCCTGGAGGAAGTGACTTATAAGCTGAGAACTGAAAGCTGAGTGGGCGTTGACTGGTGTGATGGTTACAGCTAAGGGATAGTCGTGCATTGGGAGGTGATGAGAAGCTGGAATGAGGACAACTGTACAAGAGCAGGGGTTGAGGATAATGGAGAGAGAATAGGCTTGAGCACCGACTTCAGAGTATGTGCTATGAAATGTGCACACCGAGGGCCGATGGACCCCATGAAAGGATTGCACGTAGGAGAGTGACATTGCTATGTTTGCATTTCAGAAGCCTCTATCTGGCCATAGTGGGGAGGAAGAACTGGAGGTGAACCAGGAGACAGCAGCAGTAAGAGGCCCTTGTAGTGAGAAAGGATGATGGTCTGAATTAAGGTAGTGATAGAATGTGGGGGAGAAGTATATTCAAGAGTTAAAGGAACTTCTTTATGCAAGAATAATTGATACCTGGCAGGGGCTAATGAGAGTGAAGCCACTTAGTACAGGGACCATATTTTTTCATGTAAATAGTGGTTCAAAAGACTTGCTTGGAACTCAACTTGAAAAAATTAAATGAAAATTAGTGTTTAGGCCCCCTGTTTTTTTTTTTTTTTTTGCAGTTTTTGGCCGGGGCTGGGTTTGAACCCACCACCTCCGGCAATATGGGGCCAGTTCACTCCTTTGAACCACAGGTGCTGCCCAAGCCCCTGTTTTTACATTACCAAAAATCATTTAGGTTATAACGAACTAATGTTTAAGATGGAGAATGAATCAGGAGTTTGGGGGAGTAATTTTTTAACACAAAATTTATGGTAGCATGATAATGAGATTTTTCATTTCGTGTTTAAGTTTAGCAGCAAGTTCATAATAGAGATCAATTTGAGAAAAATATTCAATATTTGTCAATTTCTCCAATGATCTCTTCCTTTGATATTCAGATCACTTTTTTTTGAAGTGTTATTACGTCATGTCCATTATGAGTTTTTTCTTTTTTGGCTGTGAACTCATCTAGGCAAGATTGTCATTTGCCAAAGGCTTTGCCTGGTTTTAGAGCAGAATCCAGATCACTTTGATTAACTTCATGAAACTCTGTATCCTTTACAAGATTTGCAATTTGAGCAGTTGATTTGTTTTGGGTTTTATAGTGTAAAATAGGTGATTTGTAATTCCAATTTGTCACTGGCAAGGCATTTTAAAGCCAGGGGTAATATTATAAATGATAAGTTCATTGGTAAAAATTTTTGTGTTGTAATGACTTTTTTTTGCAACCTGTTGCCTACAGGGACTTGGGTAATAACTACTTGGATAATGAGAACAACCAGCGATTATCTGGCACCTATTCACCAGGGCCATACCCCACCAGGGAAAGGTGCAGCAAAGCTTTCTTCAGAAAGAAGGAAAACAGATAAGGTCTTCACCTGCTGGGACATCAGAGGCCCACAGAGGAGAACCTGCAATGCCGTCTTCACAGGTCTCTCTCATGCTTGCACAGCTGAAGGTATATTCTCAGCAGTGCCCGCATCGAAGGCCACAGGGTTTGCTGGAAGAATCTCTGTCACTTTCTGGAAGGAAGCCCATATCTCATCACTAATGAGAGCATCCTCTTTCTCACTGATGTTTTCTGAAGGAAGAAAGAACAACTTTCCACTTTCTGGATGAGAACGCAGTGTTCTCTCACCCACTCCCCAGCCCCATAACCATCCCTAACTAAAGGGTTCCAGGGAATCTTGGTTTATTTTCTTGTCTTCATCCTTGTGAGGATTTAATATACTGAGTTCTGTGCATCAACCCTTAACTGACACTCATGTTGAAATCTTTCGATTGATGACTCATTGATTGAATAGTCAACTCTCTAATTCTCACCCTTACTCCTTCTCTTCCCACTTTTCTTTCATGACTATGTGTCCCACTTTGCTATGCCTGGGTGCTGGGGCTCTAACACAGACATCTTTCCAGTACAATGGGAAGCATCGTAGGGAGTGACTGGATCTGATTTATGCTCATTGAGGATATTTTCCTCACCCGGCATCTTTATTCATATACATTTATTTATTTATTTTGAGACAGAGTCTTACTCTGTCACCCTGGATAGAGTGTCATGGTGTCATAGATCATAGCAACCTCAAACTCTTGGGCTCAAGTGGTCATCTTGCCTCAGCCTCCTGAGTAGCTGGGACCATAGGTGCCTGCCATAATGCCCAGCTTTCCCCCTCACCCGCTATTTCTTAGTAGAGATGTGATCTTGCTCCTGCTCAGGCTGGTCTCAAGGGATCCAGTCATCTCAGCCTCCCAGAGGGCTAGGATCTCAGGCATGAGCTACTGCACCCGGCCCTCACTCTGCATCTTTACTCCTGTCTTGTAAGGCATGGCCTGGAAATATAAGTAGTGGTTTACATAGAAAAAGCTAAGGAAGGCTGGTCTTAGCTCAATGGTCTATCTCACCTCTGCTGTTTGACTTCTCATTCACTGTCCTCTGTTTGCTGGGGACCTTTGTGAGCAGCAGCAGTTCCCAGGAATAGGAGCGTAGATTGGAGTCAGAGAAGTGACTCTGAAGCCATCTCTTCTGTGTATGCTCCCAAGAGCTTAGGAGGTACACAGGGACCAGTGTAAACCTGGGAAAAGCTTAGGGGACTGTAATCATGCCACTCCAACATTCCCTTTTCCGAAAGCTATCTCCAGCACTCAAATCTTTCCCACCCTCTCTCCCATAGCCCATTTCTCCCCTCAGGTATTCCGGCTTAGCTTTGGCTGCTCCTGTATCTTTCTCTTCTTCCCATATGTGTATTTGTAGTTTTTTTTTTTTTTTTTTGAGACAGAGTCTCACCATGTTGCCCTCTATAGAGTGCTGTAGCATCACAGCTCACAGCAACCTCCAACTCTTGGGTTTAAGCGATTCTTTTGCCTCAGCCTCCTGAGTAGCTGGGACTACAGGCGCCTGCCACAACATCTGGCTATTTTTTTGTCGCAGTTGTCATTGTTGTTTAACTGGCCCAAGCCGAGTTCGAACCCACTCAGCCTGAGTGTATGTGGCTGGTGCCCTACCCACTGAGCTATGGGAACTGCCTATATTTGTAGAGGAGCAATTCAGCTCGACCTGGATGCTCCAGTCTTGCATCTGCACATCCAACATTTAACATGATCTTCAAATAGGTGGAACAAAAAAAATAACCATTGCACTTTAGACAATGACCTTGTAGACGCAAACAAAAAGATGCTCCAATTTGCAACTGTGGCCCTCATTTCTCCTTTGCATTTATTCATTCACTGAAGTTGTGTACTAGAGTCTGAAGCAAGGGTTTAGGTGTAGGAAGTTTAACTGGTTCTGGTGATGGTGGGGTGATCTTACAAACCAAGAATGAAAGAGTGGAAGGAGAGAGACGGGGAAGGAAAAAAAATGTCAGCGAAGATAGATTATTAAGCTGGTTCCTGCAGTGGACAATGGGGCTCAATGCTGGGGAGATCTGCTGAGGAACTATGTAGAATGTTCTTGGAATTGTCCTTCTAAATGTCCCAAGGGTGGGACATTTATCCATCCATTCCCCTTTTGGTTGAGGGCTGCCCTCGGGGACCATTCCTTTCTGGGCTGCCCTGCCCGAGGCTGAGCAAGCTCCAGCCGAGGGAAGCTCTGAGCAGGACGGAAGCTGTGAGCACGGTCAAGAACGATTTGGCCACAGCAACTGCCGAAATCAGAAGAGAGCTGAGGGGGTGTAGCCCAGGGCGCCAGGAACAGCTCTCGTCATTTGCAGTCATTTGTTGCAGTCATTTGTTCTTGCCGGTCCTCCTTCATCAAGGACCAGGACAGTGTCTTCATCTTGGTTTCCCCAGTGCCAGGCACAATCCTAGACTCCTGGGAACCATTCAAGTTTCATTTGCTGAGTGAAGCACTAAGGGAAGAACAAGGACTGACCCAACGCCTGAGTTCCAGTTCCTGCTCGGCCACACATTTCTGAGTGACCTTGAATATGCCAACACCTCATTGAGTTATTAATTTAACAAATTTCTGTCAAAAAATAAACATCCAACAATTATGGGAAAAGGAGAAAACTGCCTGTCAGGGATTGACCTCAGAATAAAACATGCTTCTCTAACTTGATGGGTCTCTCTGATTCTAGGGTTAGTTTCCCCTTAGTGTAAGGATGAACACTGGTGAGCCAGAAAAGGCAGGTTATTAATACAAAATTGGTTACCGAAAAGTGTTTCATTTTTGGCAGGCTACATGGCTCAAAAAAACCTTCACTAGCACTCTCATGTGAAGAGTGATAGAATTCTAATTTGCCACAGGTTCATTATCACCAGGAAAGAAACTGTGGAACACATCACAGGTAAATATAACGTGCAAACAGAATTCAACAATTTGAGTTGTAGCTGCCTCGTGTTCTTACACTTCTGTCAACAGGGCCCTCATTAAAATATTTTCCCCATTGTTTTACTTGTAAGAAAAAAACTGAAGAGAATATTATAAGACCCAGGGTGGAGTGATGTTCTTTCTCGTTAACCATTTATACGGGGAGATCATCTCTATGTATCTATCCCCATTACTTTATTTATTTATTAATTGTTTTGAGGAAGAGTCTCACTTTGTCACCCTCAGTAGAGTGCTGTGGCATCATAGCTCACAGCAACCTCAAACTCTTGGGCTTATGTGATTCTTTTGCCTCAGCCTCCCAAGTAGCTGGGACTACAGGTACCTACCACAATGCCTGGCTATTTTTTGTTGCAGTTGTCATTGTTGTTTGGCAGGCCTGGGCTAAGTTTGAACCTGCCAGCCCTGGTGTATGTGGCTGGTGCTGTAACCATTGTGCTACAGGCACTGAGCCCTGATTAGTTTTTTTTTTTTTTTTAATCTAATTGCAAATGTTTATCATGCTGGGTGCTGAGCTAGGTCCAGGGGATACAATCTTGAAAAAATTCATGTTTAGTCCTTGCTCTTATGGTGCTTACAGTCTAGTAGAAGATGACTATAGAATTAAAATGAGTGTAAAATTGCATCCTAATGAATGCTTCTGGGAAGAAAATGTGCTTTATTAGAGCTAAGTACAATGGAAATCATATGTTTTGGAAGGTTCAAGAAGATTTCCCCTCAAAAGTGGGATTTGAGTGGAAAGCTGAAGAATGAGTAAGAGGAGGGATAGGCGTGCACAGGTCTGATGGCAGGAATAACAGGAGGACTTGGAAGAAGGCCTGGAGCAAGGAGCATGGTACAGGTGTTGCTAGACAGGTGGGTGCAGGCCAGACTAGATCAGTCCCCAGAGCATGCTAGGGAGTCTAACCTAAGGACCACCAGAAGTCATGGAACAATTTCAGCAAGATCTGGTGGCATGAACAGGTCTTTGTGTTTTATAAAAGGGCCTTTGTTTCACTTCCTTTCATATTGTCTAGAACTATATGAGCAATTCAAGCACCAGCATTCATTACTGCTCCAACTATCCTAATAATTGTAGATACACACACACATGTTACTTTTCTGAAAGATGTGTATCTTGTCTGCTCCAGAATTAATTACCAATGTCTTTCCCTCTCATCTGGAGAACATTTAGTTTGTCCTTTTGGACACTGACTATATTTACCTAGTAACTAAATTCCATGCTGGGGTACCTTGAGGAATGAACAGAGTCTTATCCTCAATATTAAGTGTGCAAGTGAAATTGCCTTTCTCTGTTGGAAAGGGCGAGGACAACAGCCATTGCATCAACAAGAAGGGCCCAAATTGAATTATCTGGCAGCGTCTGCAGGTCTCTCTGAACTATCTCTATAACCGAAATTTCTTAGCACATCCAAAAATGGATTAAGTTGCTTTGACAGGCTCTATTTTTTATGAACCTCTTTGGCTATTACTTACTATGTTATTTTTCTCAAGGAGCTCATGTACTGATTTATGATTTCATTTAAGGTTTTGACTGGTAGTTTGGATACGCTAACTAGCCCACCTTTTCTCGGATCTGACTTTGGCTGCTTTATTTCCAACACTAAATCAGGCTGCTTAAATTTTCCCTGGTACATAAGTCTCTACGACAAACACTAACTAGTATTGCAGGTGCGTCCTGCCTTTGCCGGCTCGTCGAATGTGTTCACATGAATCTCACCCAGCTCCGCTGATTTATAAATATTTAAATTGTGTAAGTATTCTTTTACCTGCCTCTTATTAATTCTGTTTCTTGATATTCCTAGAGACTCATTAATATTTATCTGACTGAGCTCCTGCTTCCTTCATTCTTTGTGCTAACGGCTGAGACAAAACAATGGCTCCCTAGCCTCTCCCCTTCGCATCTTTCGTCATGTTCTCACACCCCTGGTTTAGGAAAAGTAGCCTTTGTTTTTTGGGGCACAGCATCCTTTTGTATTATTAGAAGGCTTTGCCATAAATTCTTGCTTCCTTTGCTGCTCTAATTCTGCTTTTTCACCCTCTGTCTCCTGGAATTATATTTTCTTCACATTGAGTATTCCTTTCCCTAAACCCTACACAATTGGATTTTGCTTGACCTCCCCTCCCAAAGGAAGCATTCATGCTTTAAGCTTGTTTGTCAGAATGCATGTGGGGTTATATAACAGCACCCAGCAGCCACTGGTGTGTTCTTTTTTTAGAGGATGGACTTGAATGCCCACACCCATGTTTTGTCTTTCAGTAGAACAACATGAGTAGTAATCATTCAGTTCCTGAAAGATGGTTGGATTCAGTCCATTAACTTCAGAGCATGTCCAGAAAATTGGTCTGAAAGAAACAGCATGTGAATATGAAACCAAGACAAGGGATTTCCAATAACAAAGAAATTAATAATAAAAACATTCCTGGAACAGTCCAGGCATCTACCTGGACTCTTGGAAAGACATTGGAAACTTTAATCTGTTTTCAAAAGAGAACATACTGCATGCCACAAAAAAGAAAGAAAATTAAAGAGTATGCACTGTATTGGTACATTTTAATGAAGTTCAAGAATAGGCAAAATGGAGCTGCGGTGACAGAGGTTAGAAGATGGTTCCCTCTGGGGTAAGTATTGACTAAGGATCCTAAAGGTGCTGGATATTCTTCCTTCCTTCCTTTTTACTTTCTTTCTTTCTTTTCAGGTTAATGTGAGAGTACAAACAACTATGTTGTACTAGGTTACAATATTTGCCTTTGTAAGGTAGGGTCCCTCTTGTGGTTGTGTTCCTGCACCCAAGAGGTGTGTCTTACACCTGTACATTGGGCCCATTTGGTGGGAGAACATGAATCCTCTCCCCTCCTCCTCTCTTCCCCATCCCAATTTCCCCCTTCCCCCAACTTGAATTAAAATGAGTTTTTCTTTTATGTTGGTGTGTATTAGGCTGTCTGCTGGCTTCATGTTAGTAGTGAGTACATTGGATTATTTGCTTTTCCATTGTTGTGATACTTTACTAAGAGCCTTTACTAAGAAGAATGTGTTTAAACTCCATCCAAGTTAATAAAAAAGATGTAAAGTCATCATCCTTTTATGTCTGAATAGTATTCCATGGTATACACATACCACAGTTTGTTAATCCATTTCCTGGGTCCATGGATATTTAGGTTGTGTCCACCTCTTGGTGATTGTAAATTGAGCTACAATAAGCAATTTGGTGTAAATGTCTTTATGATAAAATGATTTTTTTTTCTTCTGGGTAGATGACTAGTAATGGTATCATAGGATCAAATGAGTGGTCTGTTTGAATTCTCTGAGGATTCCTTCACACTTCTTTCCGTATTAGTTTGTAGTCCCTGGATATACTTTCTATCCTTATCTAGGTGGTGGTGACATGTACATGTACATATGCATATATGTGCACGAGTTCATCAAGCTATGCACTTGTGATTAGTATGTTTGAAAAAAATTAGTACATTTTATTGCATGTAGTATATCTCAGTTAAAAAGTAAAACAAAACAAAATAAAACATCAATGTGATTACAGATCCAGTTGTAAGAAACTGCAATAAATATTTTTAATAACTATAGGCTATATCTGAGACTATCTGAAATATTATTTTAAAAATCTGGCATCTATCCATAGAAATTTATGTTATTGGACAACTTACCTGCTCAGTAGGCTGTCAGAAGGAGAATGATCATGGCTTCCACTTCAGGAGTAGCTGCAGTGTGGTAGGCATTGAACTCACAGTTTGTCATTTCAGTGCAGTGATGATGTCACTATTGCCATTTTCTAGCTGAGGACATGGAGCCAGAAAGATCCCAAGTATTTGCCAAAGAGCACATAGCTAAAAATAAGAAATTAGAGATTCAAGCTCAAGTTTCTGAAACTCCAAAGTCTATGGTTCACTTTTTCCCACTCTATGTGGTGCCCAGGAATCCTAGATGATTATGTGTTGGTATTTTTATTTGTCTTTTTACTATGGGCAAAGTTATTCTGCTCTGTGTAGCTTTTAAATAGTCCTCTCTCTTGTAGTAAATAAGTGAATCTAGATATACTGAAGGGAGTTATAAATAATATTAAGTGATATTTATGTGGTATCTAGAACGTGTTTGGTTCCATCTCAAAAGGATCATCTAGTTAAAAAAATATTTATTTTTCCTATTTTACAGATGAGGACACTGATTCTGAAATAGTAAAAGATCAGGTAGTCAGTTTCAACCTGGGTAGTCTCACTGCAGAGCTCACTCCCCTTACCAGTCCCTATATTGTGTTTAATGAATTTTGAAGCATGTAACTAAAAGAAGAAGTACACTCACCAATTGTCTAAAATCTGGAAAACAATTTACAAGAACAATAGACATAAGTAAGATACTTGTCAGATTTGCAGCTATTAAGATAAATTTGAGAAACTATATTGGTTTATTGAGTCTTTTCTGCTGTTTAGAAAGCTTATGAACTGTTGAGTTCAACATGGTGTTAGACATTTTTGAAAGAGATCATGCAAGTGATGTCAATCCTTACAGAAGTGGTTGAAAGCTGAGGTTCTTTGCCAGTAATCTCTCTATAGAGTCATCATCTAACACAACAGGTCCAAAATCTCTATTTCTCCTCTCTTGAATTGCCTTCATGACTCTGTCTGGTACTTCTGGAGCTGTTGTGGATCATTTTGCCCTAGTTCTGTTATTTTAAACATATTTTCCTATGTGTAATAAAATCTATTTTTATATATAGGGTCAAATATTATCATTATAGAGATGACTCTTATGTGAATCAGATCATCATATTCTCTTGTACCCACATCTTTATTTTTTGCCATTTCTCTCCCAACAGTTTGAAGCTTTTAATGATAAAAGATTTCCCCATTCTTGCTCTTCATTACTAACAGAGAAGTTACCAGAATAGCACAATGATTAACCTTACGCTCTTCACCTGGATTCATCACTTATTAACATTTTGTCACTTGTGTTTAATCTATGTGTATGTGTGTACAAATGTATGTGTGTATGGACACACATAACTTTTTTGAACCATTTGAAAATTAGACATTATAGTGGACATCATAGCAAATATTTCAGCAATTATCTCCTAAGAACAAGGAAATTCTCCTATATAATCACAATACAATGATTATATTTGGGCATTTAATTTAAGATCATTATCTAATCCATTGCCCATATTCACATTTCTCTAATTGTCCCAATAACATCCATTATGACTGCTTTTTTTCCGATCCAAGATTTAACTAAAGATTCCTCATTGTATTTAGTTACCATGTCTCTTTAGTTTCCAGCAATCTAGAACAGTTCCTCAGAGTTTTTAGTGTTTTATGAACAAAGGTGTTTGTTTTAAGCATCTGTACTGAGTTCCAAGCATATTCTAGGTATCACATTCTTGATGTTTTGTGAGTTATTCCATTTAGTCCTGCAAAAGTAAAAAATTAATATAATTCTTGTGTACTCTGGAAAAGGTGTGAATATTTAAAAATACATGTTAGAACTTCAGTGCTTCTTCCTTGTTTATCTGGTGAACATGTTGTCTAGGCTCAGAGGACATGGAAGAGAGAGAGCTTCCATCTGAAAATCTCTGTCAGTTATAGGTGATTTGGGGGTTTTCTTCCATCCTGGGTTTTCCAAAGAAAGCAAATTCCCAACCATTCCCTTTATTACCAAAGTCTGCTAAACTGTCAGAAATCAGAGACACCACAATGGCATGCTGAGGAAGAAAAGAAGTTGAAATGCAAAGCGTGACTAATAATAAAATGTCATTTTTCCAAAAGTTACTGTTGTGAATGTTTCTACCACCATCATACACAATTTCTTTTGATACCAGGATGAGCCTTCTGAGAAAGCAATTGGAGCTTCCTTGCAAAGCAAGGAAATTAGCAATTGTTCAATGACTAAAGGACAGTTGTGTGAAAAGTTGCCATAACGACATGATGAGGCTGTCCCGCATGCCTTAATTTCAGTCATGTTCAATTGGGCGCAATGTTGTGTTTTAAAATATGAGTCAATATTTTAGGAATTTAAAAGAAAAGATGTAAATATGAATTGTATGGACTGAGTCCTCTTCTGAGTGCAGGCCTTGCCAATAGGAGGGTTTCCAATTGAGTCTCCTCTTTTCTGCAGCAAACAGAAGTATTTTTCTCTCAAGTGGAGCTTACATGTTGTTTCTGGAAATTTACTTTCATTGCACAGAGAATTTGATAAAGGTTATACATTGCATGGAGAATTTGATCAGGTTATACATTGCCATTAAACAAATCAATACTGGGTCTTTCATCCATTAACAGATTAGTAGGAAATCCGAGTGTGTATTTTCCAAGGCAACATCAGCCATAAGCATTTTTGAAGATACATCAGTTTATCGGGTAAAATAGAAAACCATCTTTATGATAGGATTGCTCTGTTCTTACTGTTTTGAGGAAAATGTTGCAATAGTTAATACTTGGTGAGCACTTTGGGTTACACTGTATGATTGACAGTGCATTTTCCCACTTACTCTCCGCAGCAAACCTGTGGGGTAGAAATCTATATTATCATCTTTATTTACAAATGAGAACCCTGAAACTTAGAAAGGTTATGTAACACATTTGGTAAGTGTTGGAGTTGGGATCCAGTCCCAGAGCTATCTGTGCTGAAATCCAGTGTGAATTCTGATTCAGCAGGTGTGGGTGGCTCCTGAGAATGTACGCTTCTAACAATCCCCCAAGAGCTGCTGCAGCTGCTGGTTCTGAGACCTTTCTCTCAGTACCAAGGTTCTAATCTACTACATAATGGTTCCAATACTTGTGTATTATTATGTGGACTCTTTGTATAAGAAATACTAGTGGACACCAGAAATACATCTGAAGTTCTTAATTGAAACACCAGTGATAAAAGGGAACACTCCTACACTGCTGGTGGGAATGTAAACTAATATGTTCCCTTTGGAAAGACATCTGGAGAACACTTAGAGAACTAAAAATAGACCTGCCATTTGACCCTGCAATTCCTTTGTTGGGTA